TACCGGGCCACGCGTGAAAGCAAGCGCCGAGCGGCGCAGCGTGCTGCCCTTAACCATCCCCGTTGAGGCAGCCGAGCAAGGCGGACATCCTGCTTTAATGAACATGGCTCCGTAATTTTCATTTTTATATTTTTCCTCCTCCTTTTAGTGCAGAGGTAGTGCGGGCATTGCGCGGTAACGGCTTCAGGCTAAACCGCGATCAAGCAGGGAAGCGCAGCGGCAAGGATTCGGGCTACAGCTCTTCACCCTTTTCGGGGTGGGGAAAACGTCGTTTTTGTCCGATATAGAAGCTAATAAAGAGCAGAAGCAGTAGAGCAGTAGAGGGGGGTAACGACCCCCTTCCACAGCCCCACTTACAGGGAGGAGATTTAGTTTTTATTTACGTGTTTCTTTTTTTTTTTCTTTAAACTCGACTATCTGATCACGGTGGTCAAGGAGAGCCTTTCCCCCGCCTTTGGGGCTCGTGTCTTACCCTCAGTTGTTAAAGAGGGTTGTGAGCGACGCTCCTCCTGTAACAGGAAGGCAGGTGTAAGGAGCTCCAGGGCTGCAGCCTTCGGCCTTCTTGCGCTATCCCTTGAGGCCAGGAGTCGGATCATCGGAGGCCGCGAAGACGTCGGGGGGACTTCCTCGTTTCCAGCTGTTCAATACTATTAAGTTCACAATATATAAGGTGATGAGCCTGGGCCAGAGTTGTAACAACTAAAACAAGAATCTTCAGACAGCTGAGAAGTGTGATCACTCAAATCTAAACACATTTATGGAAAGGCACGGTCCATTGGCTATTTCAATTAATATGATTAATATAACAATTGAGGGCTCCGGTTATTTACTGAAAATGAAGTGCGTTCAAAGGAAAGTCATAGTAAAATTGCCACTTACGGTTTGTGGAAAATAATGTGTTTAGGTATATTTACTGAGAAACATAACCATTAACAGGTACACATAGTATTATAACCTAAGCCCAGCTATTGTCTAATTACATCCTCACTGGTACTAAATATATCTTAACATGTATGAATACTTAAAATTTTCATAAAAACCTCCATGGTTAGCTTTTTACAGCAGAGATTATCCAGTGTTAAATCTCAAACGCTACACAAGTTTCTATCTCATCACCTCGCTAGACTGCCTAACTAGAAAGTTTAAGCGCTCCAGAAGACAAAGAACTCAAACCTTGTCAGGTTTTGCACAGATGGGATTTTGAAACAAAATCTTCCATGGAATTCCAGTTCAAAATGAAACATACCAGTCCTGAATCGTAACCAGAAATTAGGAATATTTAATACTACAGTAAAATCTTAGATGGAGGTAGGTCGTGCTCCAAACTGCATCTAGTTCATCCTCAATGAACGAACTCAATTATAACTCTGATTTTGAAAGCTTAATGGCCTACTGCTGTAGGTACAAGACAATTTTATATCCAGCCATGGAAGTGGAGGCTCTTCACTGATTCAGGTCTCGCACATTTTTATACACAAGTGATATAACATATCTGCAAAAATACAAGTTCTACCTTTCGCTAGAGTAAACGCGAACCAATGTTTGCTTTGTTAAAAAGAGAATCCTCCAGGGAAACAGCAGACAAAGAACTAAAGCAAGCAATCAGGCATCAATATTTATTAACACAAGACAAAGGAAACACAATCAATGCGTTAATGGAACACTGTCCAGCCAGATGTTAAATTTAAAAACGTATATCTAATCTAATTTCAAATAAATAAAAACTTTATACATAATTACATAATGCTGTAGTCTGAATTTGACCATGGTAAATAGGTTGACAGGAATTAAAGAAAAATGCATTCAGGGCTTAAATTTAACAACCTTATTTTCAGGACAGTTAATATGACACATCTTAATTACACTTATTTGAATGAGAAATGCAGTGCAAATGTTAACAAAACAGGACTTCAAATTACCTGTACCCACAAATTTTGCTTAGGGAATATTCAGAAACGATAAGACATACAAAAATCTTTTAGTTCAAAGTGGTAAAAATTCCTAGTTGTTAAGTTTCATTGCAGCTGTTAGCTTGGAATCAGATGGACGACAGTAGGAAATAATTTGTCTTCTGCAATTGGATAAATTGCAAAGTTAAACTGGCATGGAGAGCTGAACATCAGTCTGAAAGAGTCTGCTTCGTTGGACTCAACACTGGATTCAGCAGTTACGAAAAAAGAATTCAACTCTGAACAGGAACATACAACCTCAGAACTTTCAGTGGTCCTACCAAATTTCTGAAGTTGAATGTCGCCATTCGTTCACACATGGAATGCTTTCCCTGTCACACCAAGCAACTGCCTTAAAGTGAATTGGTCACATATCTTGACAGCCCTCCCAAGACAACCAAATAATCATTTATCGGTTTGGAAGAACAAACTGTCCCCAGCCTCAAAGAGGCTAGCAATGAATAATACTTAGCACTTAGTGCTGTACAGTTAGTTACCTCACAGGGATGTTGTAAGGATTAGATAATATCCTCATCTACAGATGAGGGAACTGAAGGAGTGAAATGACCTGTTGAAGGCCTTGTGGCAAGTCATTAGCAGAGCTGGAGTTAAAAATCAGGATTTCCAGATTCTCAGCTCCATACTTCCTGGACATGGACAAAAAACAAGACATGGACAAAAGCATTCAATGAAATCAAAACTGGCCAGCCTCTAATAGGCCACTTACTGGCAACCAAGAGTGGAATGTTATGTCATTATAAAGGGAGGACTGTAAATTACAATTCTCTAACAGAGAAATGTAACGTACCAGAAAAAGATTGATTAAGATCACAAACTAAGGTTGCAAGATAAAAAAACCACAAACCATAACAAACTATTGATTTCTAGCCATACAAAAAAAAAACAAGGAAAAAGGAGGAGTATACCATTCAAAAATGCTATTTTAGAAAGTCAATCTGCCACATATTGGGAATCTTTGATTTAATATATGCATTTATTTTATTTCTGAAAAATGGCAAGTAAAAAAGACAATCCTAGAATTGTACTTAAAATCCATTTAAATGGACAAATGCTTTAAATTGTTGAAACAATTTAGCTAAAAGCATTAATTTGAATAAGAGAGAAGTTAAGACGTTTTTCTGAAATGTGCAACAATGAAGTGAAGCTGAACTGCAAGTTGTTTTACTGTGCAAGAAAAAAAATTCAAAAGAAAGTGGTGTATAACAAAAAGGAGAGTCTCTCACTTTGCTGGCTGAAAAGGGAGATCGTTTTTTGTGCTCTCTACACCTTAAGTTACAGTACCAACTGTATTAGTCAGAGTTACAACCTGTCACTTTCCTCATTTTGTGGCCAATCTGTTAAAGCTTAATATATTAAAAGCTTCATACCCAGGTATTTTAGGGCACAGATACAAAATCAAGTATTGTCCTACTGCTAACAGGACAACTGTTTACGCCTATGCAGCAGCAGGATACCATGCAAATAGCACCTACAATGTTGTCTTGTTACAGGGGTTGATACAGAAAAAGAAATTGTTCATAAATATGCACTTGTAAACAGAAGTGTTTGCAACAACTTTAGACTTGCCATAATAACTGGCAGTTTCTAAACCTATTCCCCCCACCCCTAAAACATTTCTTAAAATACCATTCAGAACTTTCTATCAAAATTTTGATACTCCTGCCCTCAGTGAAGAGCTAACAGATTGCATCAGGAGTTTTTCAAGTACAAAACTCTGATTTGCCTACAGATATATTGGGTGCTGCTCTGATAACTGCAACAGGATCTTCAGAGTTTATACTATAAACCTTTTAAAAACTGCCTACAAACTTTGAATGAGGTAATGTAGAACATTTTAATAACAAGTTTATTTACACTATATACCATATTTGACTCAAAAAAACCTGTTGCAGTATCTGGTATCAGCTTTCATTGCTTCCAAAATCATATTTTCTCAACACCTTTACGAATTTAATTGTTCTTAAAAGATTATTAAGGATTACAGCAAAGAAAAGTAATTCTCAGTCAAAGCTGAAACATTTTCTCTCCCTCAGCCCAGTGTGCAACAGCTTCCTAACAGCAAGAGCTTGTACTTAGACTCTAAGGGTTTTTTTTGTTTGTTTGTTTGGTTTTTTTACACTTATTAATGTGAGAACTGACACAGTATTTTGAATGCTGGGATCTTAGTTTACCTGAAGTTATTTGGCCATGTATTTGCTAGAACTGCTCTATCTCATTTTTGTGCCTCCTACTGTAAGGAAAAATTGCATTCAACCCAAAACCAAGACATATATTTTTTTCTAGGCAATGTTTCAAGGAAATCTGGGTGTCTCCCAGCTAACATTAAAGCCCATCTACATTATTTCTTCTTGTGCCTACGGGGCACAGAATCAAACAATGACTGAATTGCACACAAACAGCAAATTTAACTGTGTAACAATCTACAGGATTTTTCTCCCCCCCTTTAAATACAAGGCATTATAGAGGGTGGAGGCAGAGGCTGTCACCCAGATGCATCAATTTCTGTTAAGCATTTTGGACTTGCACTGCAATTTCTGCCAGATTTCACGTTACCATTTAAACATTTCAGCCTCTTTTAGAAAGATGTGCCTTAAAAAAATAGGTTTCTACGTGCTATGACACACTTCTGGCCAGCAACGAAAGACTACATACTGAATTAAGAAAACTTGTGCAAGATTTGTGTATCTCACATTAGTTGTCTAACCAAATGTAATTATGCTAAGGACCACAAAAGTTACTGTCCTTAAAAATTTCTACCTTCAGCTGTCATCATTATCCAAGTCAATTTTCTAAGTGAATTATGTATAATAATATTTACATATTTAAAATATAGGCAAAATTCTTTTTAAATTCAAGAAATATCTATATGAATAAGTAACTCTTAGATTCCGTAAGTTATTGATTTGGTCATGGCACAATTTTAAATAAGCTGTGTGATCCCATGGAACAAATAGCTACATTACAGATGCAAAGTACATTATATAGTAGGGAACTGCAGAATTCTGATGACCCTCCTCTTAATAGTTTTTCTTAACTAAATAAGCCCTCCCCTTATAGAATCCTAGAACAGTATTAGATAAAAATACAAATATGTACAACAGATGAAAAAAGTAACACTACTGTAAAGGCCTTAGGAATTTTGTAGCTCACACATTTGTCAACTTTGCATTTTCTATAAAGCTAATATTTCAGTAAACTGTTACAAATGTTTTCCATTGTCTACCACATTTCCTTTTGTCCCTTGGTAATTAATGTGATCTTAATACCACAGGATGAGATGAAGGGAATATGGCAGCAATCTCAAACTTTATATCAAGTATTAGTAATTTTCACCAGCTTCATTCTATAGACACCCTTTGTCACTTGGTGGTCCCGCAAAGTTTCTAAACATCTTTCCCCCCCCCATACATGTTACATGTTATAGGCTACATATATGGGGTCTAACTGATCAGCTAGAAAACTGTCACGGAGATGCATTCGTTGTTTCTCTCCTCTGGAATTGATAGGAATGACTCCTGGATCCACTACTACCACCACTCCCACAATTAGATAATGTTCTTCCAGCACCACGTTTGTAACTAGAGGAACTAAATCCAGAGCTTCTTGTTCACAGCCACACAACTCCACAACAACCACAAGCAAGTTGGTCCAGGTGAATACAGCACTAAAAGTTTAAAAGAAAAAAAAAAACAAAAAGAGTTATTTTCACAGATAAAGATCCAAAGTTTATCTTTTCTTAAGCCTTAGATGGAGTTTACCACCTGCTTTTGGGCTGCATTTCCAAGCAACCCAAATCTAAGAAAGTCCCAGTCCCAACATGTCAAAGATCAATTCAAACATATCTCAGCACTACTTAGTTTGGCATACAAACTAAGTGCTGCTTTCACTCACTCAAGTGGTTCTTTACACAACAAAGCAGGAAATTGTAACTTCTATTTTGCGTTAATGTTCTTGATAAAACATGCATAAGTAAGAGTCAGTCAGCCCAACGTCATCCCCATCTACAAATGGGTAGAAAGAGATGCACTGCACAGTCTCACGTCTTGCTGATGACCACAAAAAAAAAAAAAGAAAATTCTGCCTTGCCTCATCTTTTTCTATTAAATCCTGCATCTTTGCATAAACATTCCTACATTCCAGTTAGGCTGGGATGAATTCATTTTTCTCTGCTGTTTTACCATTCAGCAATGCTTCTGTGCGTTCGAGACACAGAAGTCTCTATGTCAATCGGATGGTAACGCAGCCCTCGCAGTTCCAAAGTTTCATCCAGTGCCCCAACAACATACAGTGCATCATGACGCTCTGGAAAGGAGAAATGGAAAATAAAATGTATGCATGCTATAAAACAGAAAATGGCAAAAAATAAACATATGGTAGGGAAAACAAAGTCTCTCTTGTATCCAGACACACAGATTGGGATTTGTTCATTGGACAGTATGTGAAAAAGCTCTTCCTCTTCACTTAAAAGATAAAGACCTGCCATACCTCCACTGGCAGCTGTAAGCTCTGTTCGACGAACAAAACCAAGGTATCCAGTCCGAGCCCAAAGTGTTTGAGCAGCATCACCAAAGCTTAGACGAGTGTTGAAATGATCAGCTTGAAGGGTTTCATTATCATAGATAGTATAGTAGCCACTGGCTGTGTGTGGACTATTTACCCAAATCTGTACAGGAAGTGAAAAAATAGTCAGATCCATGCACTATGAAAATGGAGCGTCTTGTGAGTATTAAAAGGAAGCAGAGAATAAAAAGACAACCTCCTGTTACAGTTTAAGATTTTCCTGCCCCTCTGCCCCCAAATTTGCATTTAGCTCAAACCTCCAAACATCCCGCAGAATCTTAAATCTGCAAGATGTGTTTTTAATAGCTGTAGGCTGAGGATGAACTGAGCAAACGAACTATGCATTTTTATTACATGCGATTTCCAACAATTTATAATAGTCTATCAACACAGAGCAAATATACTGGTGTGTAATCACAATAAGGAGAGCAAAATACAAATTAGATTCTTTGGAAGCCAGTTATGCAAGACTTAGAATGGAACAAGCCTTCCTTTTTAGCAGGCTTTCTCTTCCTTTAAACTTGGCACTAAAATAACATCCCCAAATTCTGAACATTCCAGCAATAATTCAACCTATAACGGTATACAAGCCATTACCACTCACAAACTGTCACCCAGCAACTTATGTAACCAAAAAGAGAGAATATAGCTCAAGAAGCAGACAAAAAGAAAAGCTACCCAAATAGCAAAAGCTGTACTTGCCTCCCCAAGATGAGAATCACCAAGAGGCCCCTTTGTCTCAGGATTAACAATGACTACTTTGACTCCAGGTAAAATCTAAAGAGGACAAGAAGGAATATTAATTAATTTATGAGTTATCTTCACAAGTAACTAAAATTCAAAAGTTGTTCATTTACCTCTAGATTTTTATGGCACAATTTTCATGTTTAAAACAAACCAGAGCATGTACACTGAAGTACTGTAACAGTAAGAAACTATTTAATGACTCAAGATCCGCATAAGCAAGGCATTCTAGGCTCATAAATATTGGTACATCATGATATTGAAGAATTCCACATTAAAATCTGCCAGAACTACAGGGAGCCACCTTTTTGTTAGTCTATTTAAAGATGGGAGTGAGGGCTGCAGTAAACTCCAAACGCTTACATATTTCCAAGATACAGTAGACGCTAATTTGATTATTTTGATATGGTTCATTTAATATAAAGACAGGATCAATCCTCCAAATTGTTTTAGTAAAGCATGCTCAAAAAAAAAAACCCCACAGATACTTTATCATAAATCAAACTAAATTTCCAGAGCAGTGTAACCAACAATCACCTTCTCCCATGCCATGCCACAGCACTGATTTAACACAGCTGCCTTTCCTAACTACAAATCTACATTATGAAGGACATAAGACAAGATGCATGGTCAGATGCTCAGTGTGCCATGCTGCTAGGGAAGAGCATGAAATTACCTTCCCGGATTCTGAAAGTAGCAGGCTTTGTGGCGCTCCCCTTTCCACTAAGCGTACTCTGAAGGTTAAAAAAAAAAAAATTGTCAGGAAAAGCAATGAGCTGAAATCTACTGAGGAGGGATGATAGCTCAATAGCATTACAATGTTTTATGCAAATCAGTCATTAACAAAGTTTAAACAAATTTACGGTACCTGTCATGTCTCAAGGATTTCAGATCTACATACACCGTGGTGGGATCAGGCCCAGATGTTCCCTAAGGAGTTAACATTAAAAAATACTTTATGTATTTTATTGATTTACACGAGTCAGGGTAACCTCTGCCTGAGCTCAAACATTTCCAGGGGCTTCATGCTGGCAGCAGAATTCATATTCACATTTCCCCACCTTTGCAGTTGCACCGAGGGAAACACTTCAGCAGACACAGGCTATTACTCTCTATACTCAGTGCAACACCAGTGTGAGATGCATCCTGAGAGGGGGCTGTTTATATATATTACAGCCCAAGCAGTCACAGCTATCCAGCCCTGGGGCAACCAGAATCATTGTTTATAGGGAAATAAACAGTTCCTTAATGTCATGTTTCAGTTGTTTTGAGCGTCTGTGATGTAATCTGGCAGCTGACAACAAGAGAAGCTACTTACATCTTGCGCCAGCTGTTCTCCACAGAGCAGACATGTGGCTAAGTTAATAACACAGAAGCACGCGCAGATTAGCAAGTTTGACGATTCAAAACACAATGGAACCTGGAAACCTAATGCCCCTGACAACACATGCACCAGTAAGCACTCACATTACCTGTAAACAGATAGCAACATTGACTCTTGATCCGAAGGTGGTGCTTACAGCACGAGATGACAAGCCAATGTCTTTGAAGAGTTTTGAGAAGGAATGAGTCAGAGAAACTCGTGGCCGTTCCTCTGCAACTACCACACAAGTCCGGACACAGGACAGATTAATTCCACGCGCCTGGAGAAGAGCGTGCAGACACAAATGAGCACAAAGGACTGAATCTGTTGATTACCTCTTTCACACTGTACTGAGATCTACCCCCTTTCAAATGACATTTGCTTGCCATCCTTTGAATCTGAAAGAAATTACTCTAAAAATGCGAGACACCCTGTCTTTGTGTTCATGTTGCATTTCTTCTTTTGAGCTGCTCTTTGTAACTATAAAACGTGCCTGACCAGAGCCTAGAAATATAGTTAGATCAATGGAATCGTCAATACTGCTTTTTCCTCTGTGCCAAAGGATGCAGCACCATGTGCTTCTGCAGCACTTTTCAGCTAAGATTACATCTCTTATTACCTATTTATATACATGGAAACCAAATCAAGTGAGAACAGAGCCATTTGCAAGGATCACACTGAATCTTCAACAAACCTGGGACGAGAAACCATTATTATCTCCTCTTACTTCTAGACACGATCAGGAAGGCACTGAACAGCGCTAGCCAGCTGTTCATATCTCATCATTACTCCATTAGACTGGAGGCACACCACAAAGCAGACACTTCTGTGTCAAAGCTGACACAGAACTCTATGCTCACCAATAGAACAAGACCGATCCTTAACTTTGTAGATGAAATACACAACTTATTTCAATAAAATCCACGCAAAAAGCCACCTCAGGCCTTTATGTAGCTAATTTCTCTCTCCTCTCTTCTCCTAGGAGGAGACGTCTTTATTTAGCCGATTGCCTAACGTGTGCTTTATATCACGGGCTGGTCTGAGCCTTCACTGCAGACTGTTATATAAGCAATTTTCTGCATAGCATTCTGCTGCTGGCATCATCTCTTTAGCGTTTGCCCAGCAATCTCTGACACTAACTGGCACCACCACTGAGGAAGCGCTGCCTACACTGCAATATACTTTGTTTTAATCCCTTTAATTTCCTGTAGCTGCACCATTTTTTGTTGCTTTTGCTTTTTTAGCAAACTGTGGGTCAGGGACTTGTGCACCATCAAAACTTTTCTATTTAAGAATCATATCACTTTGCTTCAGTAGAACAGTTTCATTCATTTATGTAACATAAGATTCAGGAAGCTTTTCTTACCTTTAACATTTCAACCTGGTTTCCAAGTCCCTTTGTGCACAGTTCCATAACTGAATAGGAACAGAAAGTGTCCCTTATTTTATACTGGCTCACAGTAGATAACCAGAGGAAAAGATTGGATTCCAGCTCCATAGGAGGAATTAAGATCGACTGGTGACCAGAATACACACTGTGGAAAACATCCAAGAACAGAACATTTTTGTGTTGCATATAGTTATCTTTAAATTAACATTTACTGTATTTTCATGTTAGGTTCCAGCTAGATCAAAAGCAGGCTGTGGGACTCTGCCTGAAGCAAACTGGCAATAGCTTCAATACCCATATTTTGTAACATCATCGTACTACAAACACAATTTAGTGTATCAGAATAATAATCTCTACACGCATGCAGTCAGAGTGAAGGAAGAAAACTGGCTCAACCGTGCAGTTTACAGAAAGAAAATTCCCTTACTGCAACATAAAAGCAAGGAAGGCAAGAGAAACATTCTTGGGTCAGTAATATTTGGCAGCACAAATACGCTTGATCAAGACAGGATAATATCTTGCTAATCTACAGGAAAAGGGAACGTATTCTCGTCAGTTCAAACATAAATCCTCCACTTAATGGTAAATTAGTCGTTTTGGTAGCGTCAACATATCTGTCTGTAATTACAGCAGATAAGGACACGGATTGCTATTTCCTATTTAAAACCAGCCAAAAACTAATCTTTACCTTTTTCCCTAGAAAGCCATACCTGCAAAGGCACCAGAGCACAAAACCAAGTCCACAATAGGGGTCGAGACAAATTGCAATCTGCCGAGAGGAGTACAGCTCACACTGAAGCTTAATTGCTCTGCAAAGACCACTCACTGCAGCATGGGACATCTAAAACAGAAGAGACAGAGAAACAGTGTTGAAATTCAAAGACATCAAAATAGGAATTCACCAGGACAGGTAGATAAGAATAAATACGGGTTTGCCTTGATAGCACTGCTCCATAAACTAAGTTTTTTCTTCTCTTATCCTCAGAGCAGATACAGAGCAGTGCAGAACCCCTGAGCCACTGTAAAGGAGAAACAGTCTTATCAATAGCTATTGCTAAAAAACTTTAGATCCACTTGTTAGGCATCTCAGACTCCAAACACAGCCAACCATTAAGGGCAGACTGAGGCTTTCATTTTTCAGTTTTATTTCTTTTCCTGTGTCAACTGGCATTCCTATCCAGCCTTCTGTGGAGGGAAAAGGAAAAGCTCACTGTTATGACGCTCACGTCACTTACTGTTCCCCTAATAGACAACTCTCCGGTGGGATGCAGCAGAAAAAGTCCTAATGCCACTGTAGAGCCCTGTCTTCCTACATGGCAGAACTAGTTCTTCAACCCAAAGTCAGACTGTGTTTTCTGTAGCTAATCCATAGCTTTATTGGAAGAAAACCATGTTCTTTATTCAAACTACAAGTCGGCTTTGATGGCGGTAGAAGCAAGAGGTAGGTCGAAATATAAGCCAGAGACAAGACACCAAAACCCCCATTTTCTAAATACCATTTTACTGTACCTTTACTCCTGTAAGCATGCCTGTTGTGGAAACACTGAAATCTAGATATGCTAACATTTCAGGCGTAGGTGGTTTATAGATTTGAGACAGTCGCTTCCTGGGCAAGTCATCTGTGCACGAAAAGAGTAAGCATGGTTAGTTAATGGCTATTGAACTGGTACTTGAAAGGAGAACAAAACTTTCAAAAAGGCTGAGATGGACCATAAAGCAATTCTAGCAATTTCTAGCAATTCTCTTTCCAAAAGAGAGACTAGCACATGAGGAGGCCTTTGCCAAAGTTCTCACGCAGAAAATAATTTATTCTCAGAAAAAACAGAGAAAAGACTACTACTTCTTGTGTGTGTAAACTGAACTTTTTAGAAATACGTTATTTTACTTTCATTTTTTCAGTCTCCAGGGACACAGGATGGGCACAACCAGGTATTCTGAGGCACAATCAACACAAAAACAAAACCTTTTTTTTATACAAACAGAGTTATTCAGTCCCTCCCTGTTGCCACACTGGGAGTCCAGGCATGTTAACCGTTACATGAAAACTTATCATAAGGAGATTATAGTTGCCTGGAACATGGCTTTTCAGTAGAATTACATTCCATGGAAGACTCAACAAACACAGAAGAGATGAGAACAAACAAGGTCAGGCCTGGCTTATATCTTGGATGTTTTTTTCTAAACATGCCTTTCTTAAGAGCCATCCAGTGAGTATCTGAAATGGGGGACACTGTTCTCTCCCTTTGGAAGTCAAGGGTAATCCCAACACAGGACTTCAAAAAGTCTTTTAGTCCATGGACTGTACCTGTGTCAATGATGGTTGGCCAAGTTTTCACATCTACAGCAGCAGCTGCCTCTCTGGATTTCAGTAGTTTCATTAAGGTCTGGGTTGTGAGAATACAGGCAGCTTTGCTGACCTAAAAAGAAAAAAAAAAGGAAAAAAGAAAAAAAGAAAAGCAAAGCATGTAGTAGTTTTATTTAAGGCTGGGGTTTGAGAAAACAGGGAGCTTTTCTGACCCAAAAAAAAAAAAAAAAAAGGAAAAAAGAAAAAAAGAAAAGCAAAGCATGTCCCATGAGCGCTGTAATTGCAAGATGTGATATCCAGAGAGTAAATTTTACCACCTGTAGCCAACTTTCCTCAGCAGACTTGTATTAATTTCTTTGGCTTTTGCAGCACTCTAGCTCTCTGCTTTTCCTTCACTAAAACCCCAAATGCAGACTAAATAACCACGGCAGGATCTTCAGAGTAGATATGAACGTTACATAGTCTATATGCAGCTTTCTCCCCTGTGGTCACAATGGGGAGGCAGCTTTTAGTGGTTCCTGGACTTGGAGAGTAACTAACAGCAGGATTTGCACTTGCCCAGTAACTACTCCTTTAAAGGAGTAGCAATGTGAGGTTTTAGGTGGTAATGTCACAATGTTAATTTACCCTAGAAACCACCTGATTCATAACAATTCAGCTTGTCACATAAGAAGGAAAAGCAGTTCTCCCTAGCATTTCTATGAATGAAAATGCTGTCCTTCAGTTATAAGATATGCTTCAGTCACCACTGTCATGTAAACAGCATGGGAATTTGAACTACTGTGTTAATCGCTCAAGTCTGAGAGGCTGAAGTGATAGTGCTCCAGCCATGCTCTCAGCTACGGCCCCATTACTCACTTCCACGATCATTCGCACAGTGGGCAGAGTAGCAGTGAGGCTCTGAGCATGAGGTGGTCTCACGGTCACAGGGATGCAGCCAGCATACAAACAGCCATAGAACGCGGTGATTAGCTCAATGCCTGCAAGGACACGATAGGCTGTAGTGTAAAACACTAGTGGGATGGACACCCTGGTGACACCCTCAGTACTTTCACTCCAAGCATCGGTTACAACTTTCATTAGAAGAAGGGACACAGATTAGGCACTCCCACAGCACAGATGTGCAACATAAGCAGTCCAGACACTGAGGGCAGCACAACAAGGCAGCTAAGAAAGCCTAAGAAAGCAGACTGACCACACAGAGAACGGTCTCCATCTCGCAGGGAAAGAATGTCCCAAGTGTCAGATGACTCAATAGTCAGTCAGGACAAAACATGATTGTCTGGCAGTGGAAGGAGAAACACACACCAGAGAGCACATCTCACTAGCAGTGAGTGTTCTACACACACCAAGTGATAAAAGCTGTGTGCTACAAGCCACAGCAGGCAGGCTGCAGCTCCCACTGTTCCCAACCTACTGCTGCAGAACAGGCAACTAACAGTCTCAAAGGAAGTGCTCATTTTCTGCACAGCTGAAGGTGAAGGCACCAGTCTCTACTGCAAGCCACCCTGCCACTTCCTACAGCAAACTACACGTTTTCCCTGGATGAAGGGCTGCCAACTGGCAGCGTGACTCCAGCCAAACAAGACTTGAATAGCGACCAGGAGCCAGGGAGTCTCTGGTGGAGTGACTAATGCATTTCTCCAGTAGAACCAGTGTGGTCACAAGTTTCTAATAACCTTGCAGTGAACATACCATACCAGAGGATCTTTGATAATCACAAAAGTCTTTAAAGGTTTTATTCTAAACATAAGGACACAGCAACACCTCTAGAGCTCGGAGCATCTACCCAGGAGCGAGAAGGAACAAATCAGCTCTCCCAAAAACTCTACAGTCAAAGTGCAAGTCCTGATACTGTGACTGTAAGACATCAGGACTGCCCTCCTTGCAGTCAAAACTTGATCAGTGAGTTATGTAGTCCCTAAGGTCACCACTTCAGTGAAACTTGCTTACCAGGAGGATAAAGAAGCACCACATTGTCTCCTGCATTGAGATGTCCTTTGTCGTACAGAATTGATGCAATTCGCTCAGCTTTTTTGTGCAGCTGAAGGCAGGTGGCTGTACACACAGTGGTTCCCTTGAAAGGAAACAGAAGAGTTCTAAACAAGACCTGGCATATCACATGTGGCAGTGAAATGGCTGCTGCTAAAAAAAAATCCAACAACAAAAAACTTACTAACTAGTGTTAGTCTAAACCTACTAGCTGTCTATACCCATAGGCTGCTAGCATTCAATGAGCTCTTTATCCACTACACACATCGGAGATAGAAACAGTTAGATCCGCTCTATAAAATTCTACCTACTAGGGAGTCAGTTCAGCTCTTCTTGCACCAGAACCTTGCCACAATATACTCAACATGGACACATCACTAAACGCTGCAGGAACTAATGGGACCTACAAACTTGCACAGTTTTAAAGTGAGGCATGGAACCATTCTAGCTATTCGGATGAAAATGACACGCAGGTTCAAAGATCCAAGGTTTAAATACCAAACCCTTGGGCAAAATCTGATACAGCGACTGAATAGAGGACACTGGAGCGGGCAAAAGATTTTAAACAGTCTCAAATTTGTGCTGAATGATATGCTGTGGACCTTTACAAAAACTCAACACCGACTGTACCTTGGCATTTAATAACAGGAAGAGTGGGTGGTCAGGAGTTGCTTGAGCTCTCCACTGTAGCACCTCCGTCAGGAATTGGTGCTGAAATAAAGAGGCAGTAAATAAATACTAGTACTTCTACTTCAGAGGCAATACTTAAGTCTGTTTCACATTGCTGCCTCACATTCAGCTGTAGGGTAAATTCTTTTCCCATTCCTTAGCTATAGCAAATATTGATTTACCTTTTTAACTAAGTCATTGTCTTCTATTTGACCAAGATCTCTTCCAGAAGCTTGAGCAATACGCTTCCCAGCGACCAGGTTCCCTACCATCACAGAGGCAGGGCCAACACCTGTTGATAAAGAGTAGCCACACGGAATCAGAACAAAGGAACATATGCATGTGCTAGGAGCAGATTCTTTCAAAATTATCTGCTAGATACTGCTGTGGTCTAATGTTTAAAACAAGCAAAAGCTGCCAGGACTTCAGGCCGCACGGCGGCTCGTATATGACCAACAGAAAGTCACTTCATTATGGGGCAGATTCAGTTTCTTCTACCTGAGAACCAGAGCTAACAAAGAAGAATAATGGGAGCTGCTTTGCAGAGGAAGCTCTGGGTCTGCGCTGTGCTGCTGGAGCTGGAACTTTTAATGCAAGTGGCAAGGGGCTGGCCTAGAACTGCAAACTGCAGGAGAGCAAGGGTACAAAGATTCTCTGCAGGATCACACTGGCATGGACGACAAGAACAGAGGTAATGACCTCACTGATACGATACATAAGGTATTGCTAGGCTCCTCATTTTTATTCAGAAGTTTCCTGGTCAGCAGTAGAGAGAATCAAAATCCCTGACTGACATATGCAAAGAGGCCTGAAGCAAGCCCCAGCCACAGGCCACAAGACTAGCTGTGGGGTCCTCAGCAAGCAGAACACTCAGCAGAGTTTGTGTCTTTCTGTCAGAGGCATTGCACAGCTTTGTATGCCTGAGGTACTGAACTTCAGTTTACTAAATCCAAACAAAAGCAGCTCAAGTTACCTGGTTGCTTCTGCCTGGGTTTTGGCAAGTTCGTCACACACGTGTGTGGGCACATGAGGATGTTGCATGGATGCAGAGAGCCCTCCAGAAAGTGCTGCTTAGTTTGAGAGATATGGATCCCTCCCAATGGAGTTTTTGGCAATGTATTGGCTGGCACAAGAGCAAGGCAATATACGCCCACTTGGTGAATGCTGTCGATTGCCTAGAGAAAGGAAAGACAATCACTTGACTGCTCAGTACTACTGGAGATAGTTGAGTGTCACTGGCTGCGCTGACCTATTCCAAGACAAATCCCTACACATCTGTAAGGTGCCAGAGGAGCAAGACAGACACTATCATTCCATTTCACCTGTGTAGCATTAGCAAGCCCTATGGTAAGGGTTAAGTGCTTGTTAGCATCCCTTCCCTTGTAATCCCTTCCATAGACAAGAAATCCATTTTTAAATTGTTCATGACTAAAATCTCAAAATATAGATGGTTGCCTGATGAATCATCTGATTTTGATCTTAGGATTTTATCCATCTGTCTCCTTTGAACCAGCACCCTCTGTTCCTTTTTTGTCCTCCTCAGCATTCAAGGCATCTAATACATTATTCAGATCACCAAGTACTTCCCTGACTTCTCTCCCCAGCGTGCCTACTCCACAACCTGAAACATTATTCCCAAGAGTTGCATACCTGCATACAGCTCTCAAAGTAAGCATTCACCACTCATTCTGGTTTCTTAGGACCACACTTCAGCTGTTTTAACTGTTCTCTGTTCACTGTCTCCCTGCTGCAATTGCATCCCCGAAGATAAGGGAAGCTTTTAAGCATTACTTTGACCACCAGCACAATTCAAGAGTAAAAGCAGAATTCCTAAGCTTGAGCACTGGGTCCGCTTCGTAGTGCTGAGAGGCAATTGTGTTTCTCCCTACACAGTCACCTTGCTAGCATAACGCTGACCACTTCATCAGCGCCTATGCTATTCAGCATTGCAGCCATTTTCCCAGGACCGTCAGGACACATAAAAGAACAGCTTGTGCACAGTAGATGTACCAGCTTGTGACCTTGTAAAAATATCTTGCTGCCAAAGGGATCATGAGCCTATGCTCTTTCCATCTGGGGCATGCTAATGGCCTCTGATCTGCCCACACACTGAAAAATATGCACTATCTCACCTCGGCCACCTGTGTAGCTTGGCTTACCTGCAGCACTCGACTCATCCACTGAAAACTGTCCTCTTCAGATGCATCTGGCCTCTGCTCTGCAACCACCACAATCCTCTCATCATAGAACACAGATACTGAGAACACAGCAATTCTAAGGAAAAGGGGAGAGCCATATTGGCAGGAATTCCAATTTTACTCCTTGGGAATAAGGAGCAAAGGAAACAGACCAAAGGCAAAGCTCCTACAAGGCATGGGGCAAAGAGAGGAAAATCATCAAGCAATTAAAACAGTCAAAAGGAAAAGGCTCTGTGAACTACATAAGGGATTAATTCCATCTTGTGATGAAGTTTCTACACAGCATAGCCCCCGTCCTCTCATCCTGCTATCACATCCTGCTCCAACCTGTGGTAAGTCATCAAGGAAATAAAAACTTTAAAAGCATCTACATGATGTAGGGGGCTTAAAACCTACTGTTACTCTTAGAGACGTGAGCTCCTACACTGTTCTGGGGATCTAGAAAATTATATCTACAACTGCCAAATAAAATTAAGTAACTTTGGAAATTAAAAGAACTCTTCCTTACTGCAGAGCATCAGCCAATGGCTAGCTACTACAGAGACTTAGAAGTAAGTTCTACAGAGACAGAAGTAAGTTTTCCATGTGGCTGGCTTATCTTGTAACCCGATTCTTTCCCCTAAAGTACACAGACTTGATGAAAAGTCAGACAGGATATTGAGGAAGACTGACCTGTGTTAGAAAGGTTCAAGCCAATTCCTGCCTAAACCAAAAGCATACTTGCTTTAAACCGAGCTACCCAAACAAGCCAGTTTGATGAGAAAACAGAGCTCACACTGCAGATCACGTTTCATTATACCACATGCAGAAATTTATGGGAAGGGGCTAGGTTTACTTTGCTAACCTTCCTCTGTAAACTGTTTTTATTGACTCTACTGCCAATCCAGTCGCTACAATGTCGTCAGCATTGTGTCTACGTCCACTAACTGTCAGCAATCCATCCATTTTTCCAACCACAAACACCAAACTACCCTGAAAGATAAAAAGATGTGATGAAGTTATACAAAGCAGATATTCAAGTGTCTTTGATGGCATATTTTTAACTATTACTTGTCTATAATTTCAATTGCTAGATCAATGGAATTTGTATAAAATATATTCTCTTTCACTTTGAATTACACCATACGTGACTAACTCAGGTGAATCACGCTAGCAACTCACTGAGCCAAGATACTTCAGCACGTTTAGCAAAACTGCCATACAAAAACTTTTTACATTTGGTTTTAAAAGAACTAGCAATCTAAAAACGCAACAAGCAGCAAAGTAGGGCACTGTAATGGTAACGTACTGGAGAAGTAAGAGTTCCTACCAACTCACGCCAACCCGTTCTCTCTCTACTGTCAGTACATGTGCTTCTGCATCTAGATGCTTTTCTCTTAAATATTTAAGACTATTAGTTTTAACAGAGGAAAACAACAATGCAAGCTCAAAAACCATGCTACGTACAGGTCCAACAAACCCCAGCAAGCCTGAACGGACGAATGGCACATCACCTACTGGAGAGCCAGCTGAGTTCACAGGGATAACCTGCAACAGAAAGGAGGACTGCTGGAGGTAGAGTGGATTTGCCCAAGGATAGAAAGATAGCCCCCACCCAATTCTGCACTGGAAATTGCACTACATGCAAATGCTGAGGAAGGGGCGGGGGAGAATCCTTCATTTATTCATCATTTTAGCACTATGGGAGATCTTTACAAAAGGCAAAAGCTGAAAATATCTAACAAGTCTTTCATTTCTCTCTTTAAAAACCAACATTAACACTTTAAGTTTAAAGGAAATCAAGATATTATACATGATCATCAGTTCTACATAGGAAACAGAGAAAAAGATGCACTCTACCATACATACCTCAAACGTGTTCTTTGTCACCCCTGCCAGCCCATAATACATCATTCCTCCTGCTCTGGAGCTAACGCAGATTTCACCAATCTCATCCGTTTTACAGAGCTGAGGGGGTCCATCAGGTTTCACTATACACATCATTCCTAGGACAAATTACATACTGTTAAGAATATTCCCAAGATTTGGCTTGTAGAAGAGCTGACACTTTTTAACCATGACAAACAGGACATGCCATGGGAACTGCTTAACCTCCCCCAATAATGGGGCTGAATACGGGAGAGTATCTAGTCTAGCTCTTTTTCCTTACATTATGGGTTTCACAATCAATGCATTGTCCGAACAGACTAAGCATACACCTCTGACAATTCTCATAGATGTCACGCTGCTGTAGAACAACGCGCAGCACTGTGAGAATGCGTCCTAACTACTTCGGGCTTAAGAACAGAGCTGCTGCTGGGATGCCACGCTTCCTGTGAGGACTTCACATTACTGCATGAGCGCAAGACTTTCGGAGCTATTTATTTACACGGCCTGTAGAACTACTTTGAAGGTCTCAGCTCAAAATCCTTCACTATCTGCTCTGAAACGTTACAGACCATTCACAAAAAGGTGCTACAGGGCACTCCTGCGCGTTCTTACCTCCTGGCATCACATGGCCAACATCCTGGACAGTGAGAGCAGAGTTTTTATCTTCAGTGTTGACGCGAATCACACCAAAACTCAGCCCGTTCATGGACAGGATGGCTCTTCCAGGCAAAGGTGCTCCAGGGACCCCAGGCCTTTGAAGGACAAAAATCAATACACTGAAGCAGACATACAGGGTATTCTTAGACCCTGATGAAGACATCACAGCAACAGAGAAATGCATACTGCAGTGTCTCCTCTTTTCAAAAAGAATTTAAAGTCATGAGATGGTAGTAGAGATTACTTTCCAGAAGAGCCACACTGATCAATGACTAAGAAACCTTATTCTTAGGCAAGTGCAATACACTGTGTGAATCATAACTCTTCCTCCAGGTTTTAAGTTTAATCTGTGATAAGCACCAGCTCCTAGGCTAGAGGATTACAGTACTGTTTACTATAGAAGGCAGCAATGAACCAAAAGGCTAAGAAAATGACTCTCCAAAACAATAACACATTTTATCTCAGATTCAGAAATACCACACTAGCTGTGAACATCAAGAGCAGGATAAAACATTACACCTTTCTTACAGGCACTGTTGTGCCACCATATATCTTACAGGAACACAAGCACTCCTAACTTAGGAGAAATGTTTAACAACATAGCCACTTGAATACCTAAGCACAAACAGCAGATGTCAGTGGAGCTTATTACATGCTTAAGTCAACTATGACCAGCAGATGTGCGAACAAACTGTAGCCAGGATCACTTAATCGAGCAAACAGACTGCAATGCTATATGCACATTACCTCCGTATTGCAATAGTCATTGCTTCAGGAGATGTGGCACAAGGACAAATTGCCTCTGGTTTAAGTCCATGGCTCTGAAACAAACTCAGGAAGGCATCACATGAGGAAACAGACCCTGGAAAGTAAGAAAATGGGTAAGTATGATTTTATATGATTTAAAAACTGTCTGTAAAATAACCTAGAAATAAGCGCAGTATATTTGCAATTCGCTCCATGCCTAAATACTGTATCACTTCTAAAAACTCCAGACAACATCCTCAAAGATATCAGCCACGAAGAAGCTCAAGCGCCTACTGAAAGTGAACGCAACTTGGGAAAAAAAATCATGTTGTCTTGAACAAGTCTGCTCTTCTTCCCTAGTTTGCGCCAGAGTTGTTACATTTAGGAGGTGCTCGTGGAACGACGACGACAGGAATAAAAGACTGCCCCAACCTCCAACAGATTAGTGCACACATGTAGGGTCTGTTTCCATGCAGTGTGCACAACCAAAATGGAGCTAACAGTATTCCAAATCTCCCTTCTGTTGGTGCCATTTAGACAGACATTCTTTAAGCCTCTTCAGTAGCAGCATTCATTGCAGACCTTTTGGGGTTTTTTTCTCCTCCCCTTCAACATTGTTCTTAAAAGTCTGTGAGCAATTTAAAAATCAGTCTCCCTCTAGTCTACCAGAATTCTATTTTACGCACAAAAGCTCCCCAACTCGTACCCAAAGGAATAAAGCACAGGAAACCCCTTGCCCTTGTGCTGAAGCGCCACAATCCACAGCTCTGTGTTACTAGACAGCTGTCCTAACTTAGTCATCTTGGAAGTGGCTACAAAAGGAGCAGAACTTGAGCCTATAGGGACAACCAGCTGAGAAACCTCTCTCCTTAAAACAACAGAATGTGCCTACTCACAGGGATTTGCACCATCAGTTACAATCAGCATCCGTAGAGAACTCAAACTGACATCTCTTTGGTCTCGATGGGCCATCATGGCCCAGTGCAAGTCTCGACACTTCACTAAAGCAACTTTTGCTGCAAACGAAGGCAATAAAAACAGGTATCAGTACAAAGAAAAGCTTTCCGTGAATCATTTTCATATGAAGGCACTATCCAACTCTCCAAAATCGGAGAACTCCAAGGAAAGCAAACCTTAATTCACTGAGCTTGCAGTAATGGCAAACTCCAACATACAATAGCAACTGCTGTGGTATGCAGGCCATTTCCCAACCCCTGACCAAGGTGTGTCACTACTGCAGTCCTCCCTCCAAAATGTACAAATCGCTATCACTATCTGAATACTCTGGCTAAAGAATTGGGATCAAATGAATCTTTTTGTGCTCAGTTATTCTCTGGGTCTCATAAAAGGCCCTGACTCCAAATACACAGGTTCTGAAGTCGCCATCAAGTTCTGTGGGGTTTGCCATCATCCACAGAGCATTAGGACTTTGTGTATTCTTAGAAAGAAAGAAATCAGAGTTTTGGCCCACATGGTTTGCTACCGAAGAGCAATAAGGCAGACCTAATGCATTCGATATTTTAATGCCCCTCATTCATTCATTCTAAAAACTTGAAGCTTAAGTTGAAGACAAGCAATTACCTTTGTGCGCATGAACTCTCTGCACCCATGAGAGTGGGCAGGTTTTCATCACAGAATAGGGCACACTGATAGTATGCAATTTGTTCATTACATTCTGAAAAGTAGAAGTTAGATTTTTAAGAGAGTGCGCACAAAACTATGATGAAGCAGAAACAGGAGCCACTCCCACTCCCTCCCTCCCACATGAATTCACATACATTTACTTGGGTTGCTTCCATGCTTCCTGTAAAACAGTTGAAATTTCAAAGCATCATTTGAATTTACAGAAAAGCTTAGCAATTGAGCAGGAAATGTTATTGCTTCTGCCAGATCTGCAATTCTCTGCAGAGGGAGGTATGATTGACTTAAGAGGTAACAGTCCAAAACCATCTCCTCAAACTTTGCCATTAGAAAGAATCATGAAATGCCTCAGAAAGTCTTCACAGGCTCAACTCACCGTTAGTATACCATGCCACAGCCCTGCATCCTTCTTAAAATCCAACACATTCACTATCGTTTCACCTAGAAGAAAGTTGTGATAGTAGAGTAAAATGAGCTGAGACAGCTTTGACCATTATTTATGCTAGAATCTGCTCCTTTTCTTGTTCTCCCAAGTGGACTCTGATCTAACAACTTAAAATACTTGTTTTTTCTTCAAGACTGCTACAAGAAAGTCTGGGAAGAAAATTGCACAATTTCCTTGTATTTACTGAAGCTCTCCTGTTTCCACTGTGTTCAAACTCAAATATTCAGAAGCTTTTAAATGCTTCGTATACCACCTAAAACATTATACAATTATCTGTGACAAATCATTCCAGTAAGAAATTGGCAAATCTGCTCCGAGAGGTACACATAGACAGTAGAAGTACAGAGCCTTGTTTATCTGATTACAGGTTTTACTAGTCAGAGCTCCTCATTATGCAAAATAACACAACTGAATACGAGCTTAAGAGAAGAGACATATCACAAAGTTGCAAGAAAATTACATTCTACCCTGTAATGAACATCACTGTAATAGAAAGTGCCTTAACCTCGTTATGCATAAGCAGTAGCAGGGGAAGAGAGCAGAGAAGCACTGACTCCCAGAAGCAATGCGAATTAAAGCAAGGGCTTCCAAAAGACACACACTGCCTTTTAAACTACTATGACATCCTGCTCTTTAAAAAGGAACTTTCAGCCACTGGACATGAAAACTAGCTTGACTGTCTTCATTACTGGTTTAGTCAAAAAGCCTTATGTGACTAATACAGAACCTGGTTATCCAAGAGGTGTTTTGATATTTACACACACTGTACCAAAAACATAGGCTTGGAAAAGTGTTTTTGGGGGTAATCCCTCAGTACTGCTAGAGGAAGACTCAGCCCCTTGAAAAGGGCTCCCCTTTTGATTGATCAGAACACAGACTTGTTAACTTCCTAGACATCATGCAGATCTCACTTTTAGTTCCCCTTCACTATGGCAATGAAGGCAACGGAGTTTTGGGTGGAAAAGATCATGGGTAGTCTTTAGTTTGGGGGAGTTTTAATCTTTACTTTTACTTGATGTGTTGTTGTTGTGTTTAAAGTAGATACCATTGTGTATCGGTTACCCAGAGACAGCTGTTAAAAATATGACAGGCAAACAGCAAAAATGATATCACTGAACCTTCATTCCTTCGCTGCTTCTGTCACATCACCTACCTTCAGAATAGTTGCAGGCCTGCGACAAGGCTTGACAGTGAGAGAGCATGGCAATTCGAGACACCGTAACACCCATCACGCTGCCCTCTTTGCTAGTCTTGTACTGCAAAAAGGAAAAAAAAACGTCAAGGTGCGACTCTGGATCACACATATGAAGGAAATTAAAGCACTGGATCCACACTAAAATCAATTTTTTTCCACTTAAGCTGCTGAGATGTACTCAAAAAGATGTACTTGCTTGTAGCAAGGTATCAGCAAGGTTCACTATAGAAACAAGGTTCACTATAGATAGTTTTTCCAGTAACAAACATATTCAGATAACTCCAAAGAGATATGAGATAAATATACCAATTTAATGTATTTGTGTTTATTTTATTACTACTACAGGGCCACAAAGATACATAAAACTAAAATAAACATGGCAAGTTGTATACAGTGAAAGGCTGATGTTTCAGTAGAAACTGGGAAGTTTAAGGTGTTGAGGTGAAAGTAGTATCTCTCTGATGATTAGAACATTAAATTCAACTCACGGAAGCTACTTTCTATTCCCCATTCACTATTTACCTCAATATATGCTGGCTCAGTTCCTGCAGCTGAGATGTTGGGCTGCCAGTCCTTAGGGGATTTGGAGAGATATTTTGAATCTGTCACAACCCATTTGAGTCTGGGCCAACCTAGAGCCAAAATTAAAGTGGAGTTTTAGTGAGGAATTTGTATTCTGCAAAAGTACAAAAAAAAAGCTATCATTTGTCCAAGTTCAGTTATGCAAGCACACATACCAACCCAAGTCAAGCTACTAGCCAAAAGGCTCATCTCATTTCTCATCAGGGAGTTCAGTGGGCAACATGGCACTTCCTCTACTCAGGAAAGATCCCTGCAGTATTTCTAAATATAGCTTGTTGTATCATTAATAAAACCGCTTCTGAACCTGCCAAATGCCACTGAAGGGATCCGAGGACAACCCTGACTCGTAAGATAGATTCATCGTCGCTACCAAAGCAACAAAGTAGTTCTGTCAGAGATATGGATCAATCTCTACCATGTGCATAAAACCCACAACCGCAAGCGAGGCTACCAGAAAACTTGTTCATTTTGCCAAAGGCGGCCCCAAAAATGCACTCAGACTTCTAACAAGTGCTTTCAGACAGTTTAGCTATAGCAAAAGTACAATCAAAAGTGAGAACGCAACTGATCTAACCTTTAAACTGCACAATTTCTCCGTTTTGGGTTTTTGGAAGCCCTTTCAGACAAACTTCAGTGGTGAGGGCCAAAGCAATGCCACAGCTGCCCAGTAGGAAACCAATCTGCTGACCGCCAGCATCCTGAGGGAAGGCGGGG